CGACATCTTACTAGGTGTCAAAAGCCACGGAGAATAGCTCCTTCCTTGAATAGCTTTACCTCTTCAGGCCTCTAAATTAAAACAATCTTAGAACCAATTCTGCCTGTGGTTGAACAGTTCAGAACTCATGGGTATATGCAACACATTACTTTTTCCAGGTTTATAATTAAAGCCGACAGTGCTTTTAAAGTTGTGGCTCCTAAACTTTCTTCCCTTTGGACTGAAGCTCTGTTAGGGTTATTTTATATTTTATTTTATTTTATTTTATGACTTTCTAAGCCTGTATTTGTTTGTTTGTATATTGTTTTTTGCTTTATTTTTATTCTGGAACACTTTCTGAAAGTCCACTACCTTTAAAAGCTGGGGTGCAGGACTTTTACATTTAAATGAACACCCATTATACCACTATACTATTGCCCTTCTCAAGCGAGTTCACACAATGCTGGTTAAGCCAGCAGGTAAATCACTGTGCATTTCGCAGTATACAGAGTTTTTAAATCTGGTGTCTGTGGCAACTTCACCGCACTGGAGCATCAGTATTGATGTGTTTTACATCAACCAGCGATGCAGGTATAGAGACTGATGGTCAATTAGCTTGCCAGCCCCTGCAAACAAGCCAAAAACTATGCATTTCATAATTCACCTGGTTTACAGAATTATACCAAACTCCAACTCCCGTCTATTGGCCAGACTATGGGATGTAACTCTGAGGACTTAATAAGCTTATCTATTAGACGCAAGAATCATCACTTGGATTTATTTTCGTTGGCTAAAGGTTGTATTGAGTCTCAAACTGAGTATTTGTGTGTGCTTCATTGGATCCAAAAGATTATTTTTGTTGAGATAAGAGCTTATTTATTGTTAGTTGAACTACAGGTTTTGTAGAGAGCACTGACTGTATATAATACACTGTGGTGCACTTCAAATTCTTGCGTAATTACTCTCACTGCCAGAGGAGGAGACAAAAGTTCTGCACAGCAAGTTTGAATGTTGACACATTCAGAACCACTTTAGCCTGAATTGTATATTCTTCTATGACCAATATTTCCCATTTATCCCACATGACTACTTAAAAACTCTTAAATATATACTAACTACAACTTTGCACATATCTGCGCGGCCACCATTGAAGAACTTCATCCTCTCATCTCCTAAAAACTCCCCTCACCTCTTCCACCCGGAGAGAAAATGGTTAGTTACATAGTAATCATGCAATCAGAGAAGAGCAGGATACAGTAGCCTGCAACACAAAATTACAGTCACCACATGCTCTGAAGACGACCTTTAATTGAGTGCCTGATTAGCGCCAAAGATTTGAGGGCGGGTAACTCACGTCTCGTAGAGGTGCCCCCCCTCCACGCGCTGCTCCACGAAAGCCAGCTGGCGCACATGGAGGGTGGAGTGGGGGAAGGCGGCGTGCATCCAGGGCAACCCCAGCACCGACATCAGTATGTTAATGAGCCCAGAGAGCATCAGGTCCCAGTGATACGCCGTGCCCTTCAGCAACCTGAGGAACAACACAACTGTTACACTCACACTCGGCAATAACATCCTGCATCACAACAACAGACTGAACCAAAAAAAACAACCTAAACCACACAGAAAAAACACACACACAGATAGAGATGTAAAAATAAAATTAGCAACTAGTAATAATTAGAAGTGAGCGCATGTCACAGTCAACCCACACACTCATACACACAAACACAAAGGGCATCATTCTCCTACGGTTAGCGGTGCCCTTCAGCACAACCTGAATAAACTCGCTTATACGTTTACCTAATTCTTCTCTTTCAACATACAATAACATGCATGTACATGTTTTGCAGCTTCCTGTTTTCATATGAAGCAGAGCATGAATCAATATGTCACTGACCATGACATCATAAGCAGAGCGTGACATTACAGTAACTTTACGTAAAAGCATGACTGCGACCTTCATGATGCCACACAACATTTTTCTGCACGTTAGTGAGGGATCACTGCTGTGTGTCTTCCCTGCTTCTCCAGCCGGCTCAGCAGGAGGACAGTGTGTGTGTGTGTGTGTGTTTGTGTGTGTTTGTGTGTGTGTGTGTGTTTACACGTATTTAAATCTGTTCGGTCTTCATGGGTTGGCTGGTTTTGACTTAAAGGACCTAAGTGCAGTGAAGGAGAAACTACGGTGGCCTCA